CCCCAGGACATGTATAAATCTTTGGGACGCTGTGCTGAGTAAAACAAGCTAATCATAGAAAGCTAAATGCCACACACTTCCACTTACATGAGGTCCCCAAAATAGTCAAACTCATAGGAGTAAAGACAAGAACAGTGATTGTCGGCAGCCAAGGGGAGGGGTTATGGGGCTGCTTAGTTGGGTTAAGTTCTCAGTTACACAGGATGAACCAGTCCTGTGTGTGTTACCTTTAGTGAACTACATGCATCTGCACTGTACCTCAGGACTGGCTAAGAGACTGGATCTCACCACACATGCACACATGGAGACTGCCTTGGCTACGGTGATGGCTGCAGGGTTTATGTGTATGCACAAATGCATCAAATTGTACACACTAAATATGTGTGGTTCATTGTGTGCCAAGTATACTGAAGTTGTGTAAAATTTTTTCAGGAATTGTGTATAGCAACAAATAAAAAAACTACATAAGGTGAGCTGAGCCAGAATGCTTGTCAACCTTGTCTCCATGTGCTGTGAACCAGCAGTGGTAGTGGTACCTGGTGACACTAGAAAGAACTCAAGCATATCCAAGGCCACCCTGCACAGTCCTCCCTGCCTCCTTGTCACTTCTGCCCAGGAGCTCGGGCCCCTGTCTGCCTCTGATCCTGCCCTGGTTTCTGACCCGTATTCTGCCTCTTCTTTATTTCACACCAACTCGGACAGCAGCTTCTGCAGAGCGGTGTGCAGGAACCTTCTCTCCTCTCCACCCCAGCACTTCCTGAGAACCCTCTTGGCTCACAGCCGGGATACCAGGCAACCGCTTTCAAATATTTACTGAGCGGAGCACAGCGAGCAGGACTTCTGAGAAACTGCACTGGAAATATCAGCCAACGCCAGTGCCACTCCACCCATGACATTTTAATAAGGCTTCAGAGTTTACAAATAACCCTTACATCCTTGTGTCACCAGGCATCCCACTCCTACCAGCAAATGCTTCTTGTAACCCAGGACTCTGCTACTGGGTCCCCAACATGCCTACATGTAAATGCAGCCACGCCACTCCAGGAGTGGGCGCGTCTCCTCTTAACTCTGAGACAGTAAGGCTCAGATCGATGGGTCAGCTTCAAGGACAATGTGGCGGCTCCCAGCAAAGGACAAAGCAGTCCTTGAACACAGTATATTAGACTCTGGAGTCTCTGTTTTGTGGCCCATCCCCCTCAGTGCGATCCTGTTTGTCACACTGAGAAGTCACAGTGAGCACACAAGCTCATGGACTCCACAGGGTCCTTCATGGGTCCTCTTGTCCCCGTTACCTAGATTAGTGCTTGGCACACATTGGCTCTTCAATATCTGCTTGTAAAAGGAAGGAAGAGAGGAGAGAAGGGAGGAAGAGAGAAAATGGAGAAGTGGGAAGAGGAAAAGCGAGGAAAGGCAGGCAAGGTAGAAATTCAGAGAAATTAATTCACCTATGGTATGCTTTAATTAATTCACATGTCTCTTATGACAGCCTGCCCTTATGTTCCGGTCTTGATGTCATCCAAACAGAAAGTCAGAGCATGAGGGCTGGCAAGTGCGAGGGGGGCTTCAGGCTGCATTCCGTAAAATCTGTTATTACATAATACACACTGCACCCCGGGGTGCAAATCGTTCCTCAGCAAGCTCCCTCACAAAGCCCATCCCCAAGGTTTATTACAATTAGGGAGATGCTCCTCTCATGTCTCAGAATTTTCTAAGTGTTAAGATTTCCTTGGACTGGGACCCAAGTGGGACAGAGGGAGTTTGAGGGTCCTTTTGGAGCCTGGCTTTCAGGTTGGGGGTGTCAGGAACTTGATATGAGTCCACTTTGCCCCTAAGCATTCACCACACTGTGACAGGGACAGCCCTGTGCCCTGGGCATCCCGCAGCTCCTTCCAGTGGTGCTGGCGAGACTCCTCTGGATCATGCAGGCAGCAACATTCTTTCTGCTCTGTCAATGCTGCTTCCTAGGCTCCCAGTACGCTTCCTCCTTCAAGGACAATGGATGTTCATTCACAACCTAGAGGGCAGACACCCACCAGGACTGGAGCCCAGCAGGACCTGCTACCACTAGGTGTGAATTCTCACACTCATCAGTGAGGCAGCTCACAGATGTGGAGTCCAAGGCTTCAACTGGGCCCAGCAGTCTCCACCAGAATTGTTAACCACTCTATTGCCTTGAGTAAAATATGTCCTTGGAACTCAGTTTCCAAGCTGTAGTTGATGAAGGAAAAATGGATCCTTACTGCAAGTGGCCCCGCCCCTCAAGAGTTGGCAGGGCCCTCACCTCACAGATGAGGTGACAGTAGCCTGCGGTTTAGTGGCCAAGTTCTCCTGGCTGCGAAGGGACAGAACATTCAAACTAAGATCTGGGAGCTCCAAGCCCACTTTTACTGACTGGCGTTTAATTTTTTTGTTTCCTGAGTGTCCTTGCAAGCGAAGTTAAAACAATGTTGGACACAGTGCAATGTCTGAAGCCTCAGAAGCATGCCTGACCTCGCCGGCCCCCACCACCCACCCTGTGTACCCACTTCCTGTGGGAGTGCTGCTCAATGGCTTCTGGTTTCCAAAAACCCCTAAATCTCCTAACTGGTAGACAGGCTGAGGCCAGTCAGCTGCCACCAGCTGACAATGAACAATGGGTGTGGAATGCTGGTTCTGGCAGGTTCCAGCCTTGCCACCCACCCTGACTCAGAGGAGCCAGGACTGGGAGTCCCCCTGCACCAACACCCACGCACTAATAAATGTGGCCATTGTGATGCAGTCCCAGCCACAGGCCCTTTCCTTTTTCCCTCCTCCTCTTTTTAAATTCATCAATCGCATGATCCCTTCTCTATGACAGCAAATATGCTGCTGTTGGAAAGCACAGGATGCAGTCCCTTCTCAGGCAGAGGAGGGAGAACACCCGGCATGACAGGCAGGGCCCCCTCCTACAGCCCCCGAGACACAGACTCCTACCCCACATTATCTGCCAAGCACAAAAGGAGGGAAACGAGTCCAGTGTCACCTCCATTCCTACCATATCAATTCAGCACAACCCACTCCCCACCTCCCACTGCACCCTCAGGTACCAATGTGGTTTGAACCAATCTGCCCACCCCACTCCTCAGCACCTGTACCGGTGTGCCATGTGTATCATCCAACAGCCTCACTAAAACAGGAAAAGGACCGAGGGCAGGAATTCCCTTTCCCACCCACCACTGTCAGAAGTCCTGGTCCCGGCCTGGCTCTGACTCAGCCACTGCCGGGCCAGGTGGTCTCAAACAAGTCCCCACTTGGCACCTACGAGGCACCCTCATGGCTTCTTTGTGCCAATGAAGAAAGGGTGTCCTGTGAGGGGAAGCAGTGTTGCCAGCACTGGCAGGCGTGCCCAGCCTCCGGGGCCTGCGGACAGGACGGGACCTGCACATCTGTTTTCCTGTCCCTGTTTCTCTGAATCAGTTGCTCAGATTCAGGTGGCACAGATAACAAGAGTGCCGCCAAGCTCCCTGCACCACGAGGCCGTGAATAGGAGATTCTGCTGTCTCCTCAGTTCTGCGTCTCTTCCCAAGCCTCCCGTAACCCCTCTGCTAAAGGCCAGGACAGTGTGTACCATCTGATGTTGATGCTTCCGCCCTCAGAGAACCACCTGCTCCTGAAGGAAAAGCAGAGCGGCTCCCTAAATGCAGCCCGCACACTCCAGGGCCATCCTCAGAAGGGCCCGTGCTTGCTGTAGTGCTTTCCTGTTGCCTTGTGAAATTCTGGATGGTTTTTGAACAAGCAATGTGGCAAATTATGCAGCTGGCCCTACCAGGAAGGCTTCAAAAGTACCAAACGGCTTTCCCATGCCCCAGAGAAGTGGACAGGAAAATGGGGTATGTCACTTCCCTGCCTGGCCATGAAAGCCCTGGACACATTGAGAGTGTGAGGTAGGGTAGAGCACGTGCTCAAGTTGGTGAGTTGGGATGTGCCCACATTGGTGTCTACAGCTGGACCATTGGGCTCAGACCTCGAGACTGACAGTGTCAGTGGAACCACCCCAACAAACGAGGCGCCATGCCCCGGTGGATGCCAGGCAGATGAGTCAGTGGCCTCCTTGCCAAGTGTGGCTAACAGACCACTCTCACTAGGCACCAAAGGAGGTGAAAGGTGAGAGAATGGAGTCCAGGTGGCTTGGACGGTAGCATTAAGCCATCAATGGCTCATTAAAGGGTGGGAAATATGGGGACACGTGTCATCTTATGGAGATGGGGAAAGGGGAGCAACTGAGAAAACCTGGCGTGTTCAAGGGTACCACCTGCCTAACTACAATTGCTTACATAAGCAGTACTGGTTTTCCATTTTAGTGCTGATGAGTGTTTCTTTTTAAAATGACTTTAAGTAAAAATAAAGTAGTTCCACTGAAAGAAAAATAATAAACCAACGCTTACATTACTGCATGTGTCATGTCAAAGGTGAGTGCGGGACGTGGCTTACGTGCAACTTTCCCTCCCACTAAAAGCCAAAACGATGCTCTTGCGAGTTCATGTGATATCCCTGAACACTGTATGTGTGCTGCTGCTCATTGTGTGGGTGGCAAAGGTTCCAAGGAGTCTGTGGTAGGATCCTAGAATCCTGCCAGTGTTTCCGGCTGGCGAAACCTATTCCCTAGACACACTGTGTCTAGGGCGAAGTGGAGAAGCGGCACTCTAGGATGGTGGCCCACTGCACCATTGTCTGTGTCAGGGCATTCATACAGAGATGAGACTGACAGGCAGCAAGCTTATCACCGCTCTGGCCAGGCCTTTTGTCCTTCAGAACAGAAGGGACCATTCTCCTATGGCCATTGAAGGCCAGCTGGCCCCAAAGAGTACCAGCCATCTCCCTGGACCAGAGCTTCCGCTGATTTCCACATGCACCCTGTGTGAACTGGCAGCTGGTCCCTTAGAAGGGCGGCTGCCTGGCCTTCCAGTCAGCCACCAATTTCAGCAAGAGACAACTGAAGAATGACTGCATTATCTGCTCATATTGTGAATTCTTTTCTGTAGGCCAAAGAGAGAAGTCCTGAGGGTTTTGATGTGGATCGAGATGCCAAAAAGCTGCACAAAGCCTGCAAAGGAATTGGTATGAAACACCTTTCATTTGCTAATTTATTTCTAAAGTCGATTAACATTGATCTTGCCACCAAGTTTCCCACAGGGACAGGAAGATTCACTGCATATCATGTGTTTCAACATAACTCAAGTTGATCACTTGTAACGATCTTTCTACTGAAGTTCCCAAACTTTTAATCAGATCCTACTACTTTTCAGTATTCTATGTAACAGAAGCTGGATGTGGTAGCACTCAGTTGGACTTTGGGATGAGGGAAACATCTTGAGAAATGACACATGGAATCCTAATTTCATTTAAATTTCTCTGACTCCTTTCGTGGGAGGTAGTGAGGAATGGGGGCTGATGAGAGCTGGCTTAGGGATGTGGGAGATGTGTCTAGAAGTCACACATTTTTGACCCCATGAAGCAGGGGTCAAGGTCAAGAGTCTCGGTCCAAACTGGTGCAGCTATTTACATAGTGCTGACTAAGCGTAGGGCACTAAGCAAGAGGTGGGGAGTAGGGTGAATCCAGGACCGGGTGAGAACATGGCAGGTCATTTAAGCCTAAGGCCAGGAAGAGGTGCTCTGGGACCCAAGGAGCCCACTGGTGACATTAGTTTCTAGTCCCAGAAGCCTGGAAGGAGGTGAAATGCAAAGCACAGAGGATGATGGTAGAGCTCAAACAGACACTGGGGTAGACACATTCGTGGGTGTGGCCAGGGCAGAAACTGAAGGTGCTCTTGCCTGGTAACCTTCCATGGCTCCCTGAGTGGGAGACCAGGTTACCTGCTGAAGAAGAGGGTTTGCACTGGAGCATGGGGCTTCAGTGCTGCCTCAGAAGAGGCCCTGAATAGCAAAGAATGGGGAGATGACCAAGAAGGGCACTGATCCGGGCCCCACAGAGAAGGAGATGATGGCTCTGTGACTCCAGCCCACAATACAATGATTTCCTCCTGCGGCCTGGAGGTAAGCCTGGAGGTAGCAGGAGACAGGGGGTTAGGCAGACCTTAGTTTGCTGGTGAGAAGTTTCAGAACAGCAAGCTGACCGGCAGAGAGGGCAAAAGGGACAGGCAGATGGAACTTCCTGGCTTTAAGTTTCCAGTCACTTTATATCCAAAAGCTCATGGAGTTGTCCTTATTAAAAACCCACTTTTCAAGTACTTCCTTACTTGAAGGGCCTGAGAAGTAGCACACCTCAAATCACAAAGCCAGTTAGTGGTGACCCCTGGGATGGCTCGTATCCGTCACTCATTCCAGATGCCTCAGTTGAGAAAGATTACAGGTGGCCACCTGGACCACACAGCTGCAGGTCCCGGGGACAAGAGGGGGCCTGAGAAGATGCTGCTGGGGGGCCACTGGAGTCCACGGGGTGTTTTATTCAATCGTTCTTTTCCTTACAGCAATATAATTGACATATCCTACTACCTCCCCTTTTGTAACATTACAACTCAGTGGGTTTTAGTATGTTCACAGGGCTGTGCAATCATCACCACCAACCCCAGAACACTTTCATGATCCCCTAAAGAAACCCCCAAACCATTACCACCACCCACCACCAACCCAGGAAAGCACTAACCTACATCGCCTGTTGCTAAGGATTTTCCTGTATCTGACATTTCATATAAACACAATCATCCCATTCCTTACCCTTTACGTCTGGTTTCTTTTACCTGGCATGATGTTTCCCTTAGATGAAAATTAGCAGAGATTTACTTTCCTAGGAATCGGTGTCATGGTAGAATAAATGTGGTCACCAACTTCGTGTGTGCTTCCAGCAGGAAAAAGCGGGCTGTATGATGAAAGATCTAAGTGGGCAGATTTTGCTGTGTTACGAGCATAGTCTGCCTTGCCTGGGAAATGTTGGGAAGCAGCCTCAAGGCAGCTTGGGACGGGAAAGGTCTGGTAGGAAAGCGGTAGGGAGACTTCCACATACCACCAGCTGAGGGAAGGCAAGCCGAAGTCTCTCAACCCTTGGTGTCTCCGTTTGAATGGAAGCATGTCTGGATCAGGGATGCCAGTACCTTGCATACATGTCACCCATTCTATCTGGGTCATCGTGGCAGACACTGCTGGTGGATCCCATAGCTCTGTCTTGCTGCTGGGAGAAGGAGCTCCAGGAGAGAGCAATGAAAGGAAGGGAGCAGAGTCTGGCATCTGGGCAGCTGTGGGTTATGCTTAATGATGGACCCTTGTTTTACCCACCTGAAAGCTCTGCTCAGCATGCACAGATTGAGTGCCCACAGCCATACGGTGTCCTGCTCCCCCATTGCACTCGGCCACAGGGGAGGACCAGTGTGCTGATTATTGCACAGAGCACCTTCTGTGTGTCACGTGCCAGGGCAGATGTCACACATCCCAGCAACTGTGTGAAGCTGGCATTGGTATAAGTACTTAATGGACGGAAATCTGAGGCTCGAGCCCACAGAGCTGTGAAGAGAGGGGAAACCATTAGAAAATGAACTCGTCTCAGAGAGCTCCAACTTGACAGAGGCCTAGGCTCCCAGCCTCCTCTGAGGCTAAAGCAAAACTGTATTTGCAGCATTGGTTAACAAGATGACAGACCCATCTCCCTGATGGACCAGCCCTGCCAGGGCTGGATTTGAACGTCCAGAGCAATGCTGTCCCATAGCTACAGACAGGAGCCTCACAGGTCATTTTAAATTTTTGAGAAGCCAAATCTTAAGATAAAAAGTAAGTAAAATATGTTATTTAATTAATCTAACCTAAAAAAATCACTATCAAGTAATCAATATAAAAAGTCCTACTGAAGTATTTTCCATCCTTTCTCACGTGAAATCTCCTAGGAGCCAGCACGTCCTCTCATTTACAGAGCAGCTCAGCTTGGCCCTGCCACACTGCCAGAGCTTGGCAGCCATGTGTGCCCCCCACATTGGACATAGGCTCCCCGAACCTCACCTGACTTTATGTTACTCGATTGGATAATATCCAGCTGTGAAATAGTTTATTCTCTGAACAACTCACAGATCTCTTTCTCTTCTCTGCTCTCCTGATGTATGTGTGCAAGCATGTGGGCACACGCGCGTGTGTGGTTGTATGTGTATGTGTGTGAGAGAGAGAGAGACAGAGAGGAGAGAGGCAGAGAGAGAGAGAGGGAGAGAGATTATCTGGGTCACAGGGACCCCAGAGCAGCCCTGCCATGATGCCCTTTGGTAGCCCCTTCTCTCTAGGCATAACCCACAGCTGCCCAGACGCCAGACTCTGCCAGACCCCTCTCACTGGGTGGTTCCATGGGGCCCACTTTGGGGAAGGCGCTGAGCGTGTGTGGCCAGCAGGCTCTTTGAGGTAACAGCTGCAGGAAATGACCCAGTCCATGGCTACTCAGGCTGTCAAGGACACTCAAATCATTCAGTGGCAAGTGGCGGGACATGGCCCTATTGAAAACCTGGGCTGCGGCTTCCTGGGCTCAGCCAAGCAGACCAGTGCTGGGAGTTAGAGTGCAAGACAAAAGCTTAGCCTCTGCCACTCCCTCAGACCGTTGACTAGTACACAGTCCCATGGGGCCTTCAAACCCTGTGGCCTCTGCCCACAGAAACTCCGCTCAATGTCTTCCCAGAAAACTTCTGGGGAAACAAAACCACAGAGGCATTTCCCGGGCTGACAAGGGCTCTGCTCGGACCCCAGCTGTGTGAGCACTGTCCCATGCCCATGCTCAGGCAGACCCAGGGTCCTTCTCTGAGGTTTTGAAAAGTCCTTCCCAGAACCACTAGTGACTGGCCCCAAGGCCTCAAACCAGAGTAAATGTTTACAGGAAATTTTTCGGCAGTGCAGACTGCTTATATGACATATTGTGAAATGCAGAATGAGGTCACCTTGCAGCAAATGGCTTCTTGGCCGAACAGCAGGAAAAACTTCTAGGATCAACCTGAGCCCGGGACTTGGGGTTGAGGGAAATCAATGAGTCAGTGTTACACCATCCCCACATCAGCTGTTGCTGAGCCACTCCAGGATTCCTGTGCTCTCGGCCTGTCTTGTGAAAGCACTCCAGAAAGGACATTCAGAGGACATTGATTTTAAATATGAGCTCAGTTTTTCAGATTGTGCAGGAAGGAAAGTGTAGAGGATATTGCTTTATTTTTTTTTTTACCATGAACTTGGTGTTCTTGATTATCCAGATAAAGGTTGCAGGTGACATCAGAGTAGAAAGGATTTTTATTGTCTTTGCAGAATTCAACCTATGTGAGTATCACCAGCACCTCATACTGGTGCAGACAGGTTCCATCACATTTCTTCATGCATTCATTCCTATTTGCATGCATACATTCATTCATTCATAAGAGTCACCTGGTAAACACTGAGAGCCTTCTGTGTGGATATATCAGGGAGCAAAGCACCCTGCTCCCATGCAACTTGCAGGCTGTCATGACAGAGACAGAAAGGACAGGTCATGTGTGGGACACAGGGAGGAATGAGCTCATCTGTCTGGTGCTTCTGCTGGCAATCTGGCTGCTGGAGGAGGAGCAGAAGTGAAGGGTGACTCAGAGATACAGGAGAAACCTATGCAAACCCCAGAGGCAAAGAAGGGGTGCTTGTTCTAGGAGCTGCATGTCCTTTCTGGAGTGGGAGGACAGCAAGCCTGAGAGGTGGACAAGACTCTGAGAGGCAAATGGGAGCTCCAACCAATGCCCCATGGGCACTGCTGGAGTACCGGCTTCATTCTGCACGTGAAGGGACTGAGAGCAAGGGCTAGAAGCAGAGGCGTCGCCAGCCAGGCTGCTCTGTGCTCCAACAAGGCCCGCTGATGGCTGCAAATGCCACTGGAAATGGTGACAGCTTGACAGGAACTTGTGTGGGCACTGTCAGTGTTGGTCCTGAGCGATGTGATGAAAGTGAGGACCGAGGGAACTGGGTGGATCTGAGTGAGACGAGGTGATGGACTAGATAGGCTTAGGGTGACTAACAGGACATGGGGTCAGGGGAAAGAGGGACGAGCAATGAGCCCCAATTTCCTGCTGGCCCAGTACAGTGAAGGGACCACCCAGAGGCAGGGATGACAACTGCCACAGAGACCG